GTTTAATTCATACCACAAATCTTTGAAGTAAGTATTCTTGTTCCCATTTTATAGAGGTAGAAACTAAGAGTTGAAGAGGCTGAATAATTTTTCAAGCACACTCCCAACTCACCCACCCACAAGCAAAAAGGCAAAGCCGGGATTCAAACACAGGTGTGACTGTGTGTGGACATCTCCCCTGTGCTATGCTGCCTGAAGGAAAATTCTGAGTGGTATTGTTTCTGGGAAAAATCCACCTGTGTAGTCTTTAAACCTACTCTGACAGGAGCAAGGGTCACCACTCTGTATCTTAGACCAGTGGGAACAGGAAACTGTGGAGCAGGCTGGTTAGGGGACAAGCCCAAAGTGACAAAGTTAGCAAAGGTGGACCTGGCACTCAGCACCACATCTGTTTTTCCATGCTCTTAACCACTACAACATACAGAGCCCTTTTACAGAGATCAAGGACATAGGTAAAAGTGTTTTGAAAGCAAAAAAAAAAAAAAGAGGGGAGGGTGCATGAAATAAACATAAATCACCCCCCTCCCCTGCCCGGACATAACTCAGGGAACAGTACCAACCCCCAGGAACCTTCTGTGGAAATTATTCACAGCATCAGAGACCTCCAACATAGAAATAACCCTCAATAAATCATTTCTTTCGTCCTCTTTCCCTTCAGGCAGGAATAATATTGCTAACTGAATTGCACAGGTGAGACCAGGAAGGTCAAGCAAGGGGTGACCAGCTTAGGCCCTTGGCTGGCAGGTGAGGAGGAGACCGACCCAGCCTCCTAGCTCCTAGGGGAGGAAACAGTGATGACAAAGGCCCTTTCCATGGCCAAGGTGGAGCCCTTTCTACCAAAGTTGAAATGTTTTAATATAATATCCAAGTGCATCTTTTCCAACCTTAAAAACATATTTAATTTCCCTATAAAGCTGGTTGGCACGCTCCTCCTCCTCCAAAGCTCTGTATTAGGCAGGGTTCATAGCTGTACGAACAGTGGTTAGTTCAGCCATAAAAGGGATGATATAGGAAGATACTGGGTCGATCAAAGGCTCTCTGGGAGGGCTGCAGATTTACAGCCAGTCAGCCAGGAACGATGCCTGAAACATACCTTAGAGCTGGAGAAAGAAAGAAAGAAACCCTACCTTTCTTCAATAGCTGGCAAGGTGGCAAGGTCTGGCCCCATGCAGCCTCGGCTCTTCCCACTCTCCTCTCTCCCTAATGCATCACCCTACTCACTGCTTCCCTATGTTCCCTAAGTTCTATGAACTTGCCATTCCCTCTGCCTGCAACCTAGACATTCACACTGCTAGCTCCCTGGCTAGCTCAAATGCCAGGTTTCTGCACAAATGCTCCTCCTTAGAGAGGCCTTCCTGGACCTCTAGGTCTCTGGCCCTAGTACTCTATCCCCTCTCCCTACTTTCCTCTTCTACTTCACTTCTCCTTAACATTGTGTTACCCACTGGAATGTAAGCGGCACGAGGGCAGGGACTTGGGTTGTTTTGTTCCTTGCTGTAAGCCCAGGGCCCAGGGCCAGACCTGGAACAATTAGGTGCTTAGTTATTTGCTGAATACTCTATGAAGGAACGACAAAGGAATGCATGGAGAACTTCAAAGTTCAACTCCTCCAACTTCAAACTTCAAACCCCCAACTCCTCCTGCCTGTGCTGGAGGATTAGGGCAGTAACAGGAATCGACTTGTGCTGTGACTGCAGCTGTGCTGTCACCTTGCCTAGATCCGCATCAGCCCTGCAGCTCCCACTTTGGAGGAGACTTGCCCAGGGACCTGCTCTGAAGCTTCTCTGACAGCCTCTGCAGCTCTTGGAACTTATCTGGGTTGTTGCTGTGCAGACCATGGAGGCCTAGCTCAGTTCCTGCCCCTGCTTTCCTAGAGCCTCATGAAGACAGGGAAGTGACTTACCCAAAGTCCCCTTTCACCCTATAAACAGTTCAGCCCAGGGAGCAAGGCTGACACGCAAATGCAGCTATGTATAGACTCAGAGTCATCCAAGGTCAGGGCTGGGTGGAGCCTTGGTCACATGCAGGCCAACCTGTGTCTGGAGATAATGCAAGCCAGTGCAGAGGTGAGTGTGTACATGGACTCTGCAGTCTGGCAGATCCAACCCCCGCCCACCAACTGTGTGACTTTGGAGAATTATTTGAAAAGATAGTATTTGAAAAGCAGATGTAAAATGGAAATAAAAGTTCCTATTTCAAACAGTCAGTTGTCCCCCATTCAGAAGCCTATTACAGTTATCCCTCAGCATCTTTAAGGGATTGGTTCCAGAACAGCCCCTCAGATACCAAAAGCTATGATGCTCAAATTCTTTATAAAAAATGGTGTAGGGCTGGGTACAATGGCTCGTGCCAGTAATCCCAGCACTTTGGGAGACTGAGGTGGGTGGATCACATGAGGTCAGGAGTTCGAGACCAGCCTCGCCAACATGGTAAAATCCCGTCTCCTCTAAAAATACAAAAAATAGCCAGGCTTGCTGGCATGCACTTGTAGTCCCAGCTACTTGGGAGGCTGAGGCATGAAAATTGCATGAACCTGGGAGGCGGAAGTTGCAATGAACCAAGATCATATCACTGCACTCCAGCCTGGGTGACAGAGTGAGACTTCATCTCAAAAACAAAAAACAAACAAACAAAAAATGGTGTAGCATAGTCAGCCCTCCGTATCCACAGGTCCACACACAGAACCTGCTGGTATGGAGGGCCAACTGTGTTTCCTATTCTTTTTTTTTTTTTTTTTTTTTTTTTTTTTGAGACGGAGTCTCCTCTGTCACCCAGGCTGGAGTACAGTCTCGTGATCTCGGCTCACTGCAAGCTCCACCTCCCGGGTTCATGCCATTCTCCTGCCTCAGCCTCCCGAGTAGCTGGGACTACAGGCACGCGCCACCATGCCCAGCTAAGTTTTTGTATTTTTTGTAGAGAAGAGGGTTCACCATGTTAGCCAGGATGGTCTCGATCTCCTGACCTCGTGATCCACCCACCTTGGCCTCCCAAGGTGCTGGGATTACAGGCGTGAGCCACTGGGCCCGGACGCTTCCTATTCTTTATGGTATCAAATTCAATCTCCTTGGCTTGATAGTCAAACTCCCACCACCACTGAAATCTGATTAACCAACCTGTCCAATACAATCTCTCTGCACTCCTCCAAATGATGTTCAAGTTGGACCTAGGTACTCCCTGGTCCTTCTTACACCTGTGTGCCTGGAAACACCACCCACCTTCTTTTCTCTCATCTGAATTTACTAGAGCCCCAGGGGCAGGTCTCATAGTCTTCCCGGACTTAGGTTTTTCTAGGCACTGACTACTGGGCATTCATGATGAGACCTGCCCCTGGGGCTCTAGTATTTGGTGTTACTTAAAGGGAGGAACAAAGTTGTGACTCCCCAGCCAGAACAAAGGATCCTTGAGGGCAACTGTCTGTTGTCTTTTCATGTCTCCCCCAACCAGGCATTAAAACATGCACAGAAATTCCTGCTGACAGGCTCATGTGAAGTTACAAGTTATAATTTGGTGAAAATGCCCCCAAATATTTCCTCTATTTCCCAAGGAAAGGAAAATAAATATATAGAAATTAAATTAAAGACAAACTGAAATCATTCCCATTTCTGCATGCTTGGTCTGTGTGGGGAAAAAAAAAAAAACCATTTCATCTCTGTCTCCAACCCAGACTTGACAAGTGGAGAAACTCCCTAAAAACAATGCATACCAAAAAAAAAAAAAAAAAAAAAAAAAAAAAAAAAAAAAAAAAAAAAAAAAAAAAATCATACCAATTAGTCTCACTTAAAGGTTTCAGGAAGGAAAACACAGTTAAACTGAAAACGGTTAACTGGTGTTTAAAAAAAAGAAACCAGCCCGGAAATGTTTTTAGGACTGCGTCTATCGAAGTCCCTTAGGGACTGATTTGTCCTTCAATACATTCTTCATAGCACCTGCTTTCACCAAAACCCAACAGCCCAACACTAGAGCTTTGTGAGTGAGATGCGGAGTGGAACTGGACATGGAGCTACACAGTTCTGAATCATGTCACCCAACAGCAAGCAACAGCCACATGAAGGATTCCTAGCAGTGCCCTGTGGCCACTACGGTGGGCCATGGGAAGCTGTACAAACAGCAGATGGGATCCTGCAGCCCCAGCTTCTCCTTCTTCCTTGTTCCTCTCTCTGGTCCATGCCTTTGCTTCCCCACTGGCCCACTGGCCAAATACACTCAGAAAAAAAGTCCTTGCACAAGCCTCCACCCAAATTAATTCCACATTCTTTCAAGAGAGGCCTTGAAAGGTACTGAAATTCAGGGAAGCTCTTCACTAGACCCCTCACTGGAATGCCAAGATGTGATGTAGTGGTCCTTGACATAAGGGCTTATTCTCATTTATGAAACTGAAATTATTTTCTTCTAAGCACAAAGCTAACAAATGTGATCAAAATAGAAAATAAACAATCCTCATTCAAGTGCTCAGAATGCAGCACAAATAGGATCTTGGGATAAATAAGATAGAGCTGTGAAATTAATAGGGGTAAGAAGAGGGGAGGATCAGCAGGAGAAGTACACCAAGGGGCTGCAAGGCCTGGGCAGGCAGATGGAAACCATGGGTTCTGAGGGGCCAGGCATGGCAGTGCAGAATAGTCCACCCTGGGAGTGACTGGAAGAAGGACTGCAGGGTCCCCGCAAAGAACACCTCACCCTCCCAGCTTGTCACATACTTGTTGAACTATTCTGGGTGGATACTTCCTCCTTGGATGGCAAAGGGGACAGGCCTAAGATGCAGAGGGGAAGGGAAGTCACACTTACAATGCAGAGGATGCGCCCTTGTCCCTCATACTCTCTGATACATTCCAGGAATAATTCTGGTTTCACTGCTATTGTTTGTTGTTTTTGTAAATAAACCGCAAAAATCAACAAATGGCCTCAAAATCGAACACATGTGACTTACAGCAATTCATATACCAAAACACAAATAATGCAGAACAAATAAGAGAAAAATTCCGGTCAGGCTCTCCACTCACCCATGGCTGGTGGCTGGCATTCAACTCTCCAGCAGCCAGGGAGTCCATTTTCTTGTTTCTCTGCTGGCCATCCTCAGGACTGCCTGGGGGGCCAGGGTGTGCTGCCACCTGCAGGCCAAACAACGGAAAAACATAAGCAACGGCCCCAATCATGCGCCTGAAGCCCCTCCTATACCCTCAGGCAGCTGGAAGACCTGGGTCCCCACGGTGGCACAAGAGCCAGGAGCACTCACCGAGTGCCAACACCTGCTGGGCCACAAACAGTTTCTGCTTGGGATCCCAACACAGGCAACAGAGTCAGCAAAAACTCTAAGATATAAGAAGTCAAGCATTTCTTAACAGCAGCAGCAAACTCTTACACAGGGCTGTGGTTACCAGACACTGCTCTAAATAACTCACACTTGTTTACTTATTTCATCCTCACAACGACGGGTAAATATTTTAGGTCTCTGCCAATTTGCCTGATTACTGAATTAGGTTGAATCATTAAAATGAATAACTTGGTAATACTCAATTTCAAAGAGGGGTCACATATGAAAACTCTGTGAGAGATTCTCAGCATCTTGCAGACATTCATTCCCAAAATATCCATTGAGTGTTATGGACCAGACACTGCTCTAGGACCTGGGAAGAGAGGAGTGAACACACAAGACAAAGTCCCTGCTCTCACGAAGCTTCTGTTGTAGTGGAGGGAGGCAACAATAGAAAAGGAGACAAATGCCAAGCAGAAGAAAAAGCAGGGAAAAAGAGATACAGCACGATGACAATGCTGTTAATATCCATTCATTTATTCATTTATTTCCAAGGACTTACTAACCATGTCATTTATTGCCCACAGCTGCATGTCAGGCACTGTGCCAAGGATGCAATTATGGGTAAGAAATAGACATAGTCTCTGCCTGTATGGAGCACTTACATAAGAGGAACATTTATTATTAGTCAAATAATCACCTAAATAAATGCACAGATGTTAATCTGTGATAGGTGTGGTAGCAGAATTGCATGTAGTCCTTGTGAGAGCACCTCCAGGAGGCCTGATCTCGTCTAGGGGGAGGCCTGAGATGGAGTGTGGGGAGGAGCAATGTGTTAGTCCATTTTGCATTGCTATAAAGGAATATCTGAGGCTGGATAATTTATAAAAAAAAAGAGGTTTAAGGCTGGGTGCAGTGGCTCACACTTGTAATCCCAGCACTTTGGGAGGCTGAGACGGGTGGATCATCTGAGGTCAGGAGTTCGGGACCAACCTGGCCAACATGGTGAAACCCTGTCTCTACTAAAAACACAAACATTAGCTGGGTGTGGTGGTGCATGCCTGTAATCCCAGCTAGTTGGGAGGCTGAGGCAGGAGAATTGCTTGAACTGGGGAGGCAGAGGTTGCAGTGAGCCAAGATCATGCCACTGCACTCCAGCCTAGGTGTCAGAGCAAGACTCCGTCTCAAAAAAAAAAAAAAAAAAAAAAAGAAAAGAGGTTTGGCTCACAGTTCTGTAGACTGTACAAGCATGGCACCAGCATCTGCTTGGCTTCTGGTCAGGCCTCAGGATGCTTACAATCATGGTGAAAGGTAAAGGGGGAGCTGGCGTGTCACATGCCACAAGAAAGAGCAAGAAAGGGGAGGAGATGCCCAGGCTCCTTTAAACAACCAGCTCTCACCTGAACAGAGTAAGAACTCACTCATTACTTCCGGGATGGTACCAAACCATTCATGAGGGATCCAGCCCCATGACCCAAACACCTCCCACCAGGTCCCACCTCCAATGCTGGCGATCACATTTCAACAAGAGATTGGGAGGAGACATGCATCTAAACCATATCAAGCAGTGTCCCTGTCAAAAGCACACCCTGTGCACAGCTGGATCGTGGGCAGTCAGCAGGGACAGGAGGCAGGGTGAGGCTGGAGAAGCAGTGTAGGCAACCCTTGCATGACACTCCAAGCCACAAGAGGAGTTTGAGCCTTAACCCTGGAGAACTGGAGCACCACTCAAGGGTCTTAGGCAGAGGAGTAATGCATTTAGATGTGTACTTTTAAAAGATTATCTATGTAGGCTGAGTAATGGCCCTGCCAAAGATGTCTATGTGTGAATCCCTGGAGGCTGTGCGTATGTTCCCCTACATGGCAAAAGGGACATTGCAGATGTGATTCAGGATCCTGAGAATTGGAGAGTATCCAGGTGGGCCCAATGTAATCACCAGTGTCCTTATAAGAGGGAGGCAGGGGGAGATCTGAGGAGCCTCAGAGTGATGTGGCACGAGAAAGACTTGGCTTCGAAGAGGAGGAAGGGGCCCTGGGCCAGGGAATGCAGTGGCCTCTAGAAGCTGGAAAAAGTAACAAAACGATTCTCCTTTAGAGCCTCCAGAAGGAACGCAGCCCTGCCAAAGCCTTAATTTCGGGACTTCTAAAATAGTAAATTTGTGTTGTTTTAAGGCACTGACTTTGTGGTAATTTGTTACAGCAGCAGTAGGAGAATAGGACATACTAGCTCCTGTGAAAAACCAGATTGGACGTAAGGGCAAGGGGAGGCAGGGACTAGCTAGAGGTCACTGCTGTGGTTCAGTCAAGAGGTGTGAGAGCTTGCACCACAGTGGTGGCCGTGGGGATGGAGAGGAGTGGAGTTGAAGGACCCAAGCAGGGGAAGAGCCGGCCAGTCAAAGGTCTCACTGCAATCTGGCAGATGGTACTGGAATGCTACAGCAGGTCTCTTTCAGGCTCAGGCCCTGGCTGGCTCACCCTGGCTAGAGCCCAGCACTTTTACAGAAGGAGGAAGCTCACACCAGGGCTGTAGAGCACTCCCAGACAGACACACCATTAACTTGCTTAACTTGCCAACCCCATTCCCACAAAAAAGTTCATGAGTCTCCAGGAACAAGCCCTAAGAAAGAATACTTGGGGAATTTTTGCTAGGCAAAAGGTAGCAATTATTTCTGCTAAGCATTAAGTCTTGCAGCAAATTTTTTTTTTTTTTTTCCATGAACAGAGATTTTGTAATTCTGGAAGAGAGGGGTCCAGATTTAAATATACACATCTCTAACCTAGGTGATGCAGAACCACGATTAAATCCAACATCTAAAAACTTCATGGTCAGTAGAAAATGTAGAAATTAAAGAAAGACTAAACAAGAAACTAGGAGACTCAGCATCTACTCTATTCTTGCTTAATAATCCAGACCTACTTAAAAAATGGGATCCTAATTTGGTCCTGTTTAATGGAGCTGTCAAGAAGAAAAAGCAATAAAAATTATTTGAGAGAATTTTAGAAACATTCTCCCATTCTACTCCAAAAATATAAATATGCACACTCCAAAACCAAGTACCTTGGATTGTACTGAGAGATGACAATGACGTCTTAACAGTACTATTTCCCCATGATGTTGCAGCAGGCCACAGAGACCTCACTGAATTGTAAGAGCAGGAAAGGACCCAGGAATGCCTGCAGATGACAAAATACCAGGTAGTCTTGTCGGCCTAGGAGCATGTTAATTTAAAAATAGATATATTGTTTTTTCTGGTGACAAAAGTGACATATGTCTATTATAGGAAAACACAAACAACTCCTGTAGTCCAATGATCCATAGATAACACATTTGGAAATATTTTCTTCTAGTCTTTTTTCCCCATTGATTTTGGCACAGGCGCACACACACACACACACACACACACACTCACTTCATTTTTAACAAAATTACAATACTGTATATACTTTTATAACCAGTTTTATGTAACAGTATGTAATCCTCCATGTATTAAATATAGTTTTTCATAATGGTAGTATTCCATCATATGAAAGTACGAAAAAATCACTTAACCAATCCCTAATTGCTGAACAACTGAGTAGTTTCTACTTTATGGTAACATAAGCCATTGGTAGGAACCTCCTCATCTACGGGAATATCCCTAGATATAAATCTGTGTCTATAGCTCTGATTATTTCCTTAAGGTCCTATTTCCTACATCCATGCATTGCCATTACTATTTTGCTATAATTAATTACCATCTGTAATGTACTTAACATTTCTCTTTAAATCAACTCATTTCTGTCCTTAAACAAATGTATTTTAAAAGCAAACCTGACTGGGTATGGTGGCTCACACCTGTAATTCTAGTACTTTGGGAGACCAAGGCAGGCGGATTGCCTGAGCTCAGGAGTTCGAGACCAGCCTGGGCAACATGGCGAAACCCCATCTCTACTAAAAATACAAAAAATCAGCCAGGCGTGGTGGTGCGTGCCTGTAGTCCCAGCTACTCAGGAGGCTGAGGCATGAGAATCGCTTGAACCTATGAAGCAGAAGTTGCAGTGAGCCAAGAT